GCTGGGGATCAGGACACCTGCCTATGCTACCCCAAACCTTACCTCTTTGGCATGTTGATTATTTCAACTGGCTATTTTGAGGAACTGAAGGCACAGAGCTCTCTATGAAAATCTGCCCTTTCTTGAAGTCATCCATTCCAGGAGGACAGCAGCTCTAGGACAACTTTTACCAGGGAGGTTTCCTGCTTCCTGTTTCCGCAGGGAGAGAAGTCCTGGCAAGGTCAGCAGTCTCTCACTGAGCCCTACTCCTGAGACTTTTATCTACATAACAAGACAATCTACTTAATCTCAGTCCCTACTTTGTCTCTCCTTCCAGGAAGCCTCGTGATGCTATTCCTTTCTGTAGCTCAGGATGTTACAGGGGCCACAGTGCTTGCAACCTCATGTTTTTTTCCATATAAAACTCCCACGAGTCTATACGTAATTAAAATTGATTTCCCCCATCAATCTGTTTTCAGATAAGTTTAATTTATACACTAGGCTAAGAATTTTGGAAAGTCAAGGGACGCAGCCAAGCCTTGGGCAGAATTTACTGTTCTCTGAGGCATAATTAAGGAACGGTAAGGAGGCCAGGCCTGCCTGGAGTAGACAGTAAGAGGGGCAAGAATCAGAGGCGGGGGACTGGAGAGATGGCTCCCTGGATCAAAGCAGTTAGCTGCCCTTGCAGAGGAACCAGGTTCAGTTCCCAGCATCCACATGGTGGTTCACAACTATGTGTAACTCCAGCTCTAGAAGATCTGATGCCCTCTTCTGGCCCCAGCAGGCACTGCATGCATGCGGTTCATAAATATACCTGTAGGCAAAACCCTCATATACATGAATTAAAAATAAATAAGTAGGGGCTGGAGAGAAGGCTCAGTAGTTAAGAGTACTAAATGCTCTTCCAGAGAATCTGGGATTTCGTTCCCAGCACACACATGGTGGCTCACAACTGTCTGTAAATTCCAGTCCCAGGGGAACTTATTCCTTTTACTGGCCTCCAAGATCAATCCTGTAGTTTATAGACATCCTCACAGACAAACAAAAACAAAACATAAAGAGACCTAAAATAATCATAGTAATTTTTGTTTTGCTTCTTTGAGAAGGGGTTTCTCCGCAGTTTTTGAGCCTATCCTAAAAACGAACTTGTGGATCAGGCTGGCCTTGAACTCACAGAGATCTGCCTGCCTCAGCCTCCGATGCTAGGATTAAAGGCCTGTGCCACCACCACCCGGCTCATCATACCTTTTTAAAGGCATATCCATACAAACCCATAAAACATTTTTTAGAGGAATTAGAAATGAAATAAGGAAGAAACCAATCAGGAAGAGAAGTCACATTATCCATGGCCCCTGAGGGAGATAGTAGAACCCTTTGCTTTTGTTTTTTTGTTTTTTGTTTTTTTCTTGTGGTGGTTGTTTATGCTTTGGCTTTGGTTTGCCTAGTTTGAGCTGGGAGTGAAACCCGGGTCCCCAAATTTTGTCAGTAAGAGGCCTCTTACTGGCTATCCATCCTCAAATCCTGGCCTTAACTGCTAAGGCCTTAACTAACTTAAAGATGAGGTGGGAACCAGGGGCCATTGGAAGAGAAGAGGGCAGATTCAATTCATGCTTTCTAAAGACCATTTGGGCCATGAAAGATGAGTAGGAACATAGCCTAATGGTACTGCAGTAATCCTAGAGAGAGTTCTCAGGAGAGTAGTTACAACAGCATCAGAAACTCTGCAGCAACAGCCTAGACAAAGTAATCAGCAGTAAAGGGGTGGAGACACTTACTGTTCCTTGTCTGCAGGCAGTTGAGGAGTTAGTTGCCTTAATCCTCTGGGCCCTAGAGTCCAGAGACTTTCACTCAGGAAAAGCCTTTGACACAGAAAAGAGTTTCATAAAAATCAGCATGAAGCAGAGTTGAAGTTTATTAAAAGACATTTTTAGCAGATTGAGGAATAGGGATAATAAAAAGGAACTCAGGGGAAAAGTGAAACATAAGTGTAGGTATGATTTTCCCAAAGGAGGAAACACACACGAACACACACCCAGCACTCACACAGACACACATACACTATTGGTGGATTTTAAAGCTATTATATTTAAATCCTAATTTAATGTGATCCCTGAAATATGTAGGGAGGATTAGAGCAGATCATAGGAAACACTAGGTCAGGATTAGTGATATTGGTCACTTGGTACAGAATGAATCCCTGGGTATGATCGCTAGCACCACATAAACCAGGGGTCCTCCCATAGGAGGACACAACTGAAGAGTTCCAGCTATGACTGGTTGAGTGTATGACCTATATTTTATTTGGTTTTGTATTTTTTTTATTTTAAGAATTTTGTTTGGGCAGGAGAGATGGCTCAGTGGTTAAGAGCATTGCCTTCTCTTCCAAAGGTACTGAGTTCAATTTCCGGCAACCACATGGTGGCTCACAACCATCTGCAATGAGGCCTGGTGCCCTCTTCTGACCTGCAGACATACACAAAGACAGAGTATTGTATACATAATAAATAAATATTTTTTAAAAATGAATTTTGTTTCAGGGCTGGAGAGATGGCTCAGTGGTTAAGAGCACTTGACTGCTGCTCTACAGGGGTCCTGAGGTCAATACCCACCAGCCACATGGTGGCTCACAACCCTCTGGGATGGGGTCAGATTCCTTTTTCTGGTGTGCGTGAAGAGAGACTCATATACATGAAATACATAAATAAGTCTTCAGAAGAATTTCATTCTCCTCAGAAAGGTGCTGTAATTCAAGACTGACCTAGGAGAGATAGTGGCTATTAGGGTTGGCTTTAATGTCAACTTGCCACAAATTAAAGTGATCTAAGTTGGGAGCCTCTCCTGAAGGACATCCTGATTGCCTTAACTGATGCAGGAAGAGCCACCCTGGTGGTGGGCAGCAGCTTCTGGAAGCAGTCCAGATCAAAAGGACAGGGCAGAAGGAAAATGATACGACTTTTGGTGGATTGGCATCCCTCTTGTCCTATATTGATTTAATTAAATTCTTTAATTTGGGGGCAGAAGAGATGGCTCAGGGGATAAGAACATTGACTGCTCTTCCAAAGGATGCAGGTTCACCTGGGCGGTGGTGGCACATGCCTTTAATCCTAGAACTAGAGAGGCAGAGGCAGGTTGATATCTGTGAGTTCAAGGCCAGCCTGATTTACAAGAGCTAGTTCCAGGACAGGCACCAAAGCTACAGAGAAACCCTGTTTGAAAAACAAAAAGATAAAAAAGAAAATCCAAGGATGCAGGTTTAGTTCCCAGCGCGCATGCGGCAGCAAAAATAAAAATATATTTAAAAATCTCAACAAAAAAAAGCTTTTTGAAACAGTAAAAAAATTGTTTTTAAAGGTTTTAAGTTTTTTTAATTGATTTTTATTGTGTTCTACATTTTTCTGTGCTCCCCTCCCTGCCTTTCCCCTACCACAAGGTCCCCATGCTCTCAATATACTCAGGAGATCTGGTCTTTTTCTACTTCCTATATAGATTAGATCTATGTATGCCTCTAAAAATCTTTTTAATCTTTAGTTTTGATATATTCATTTGATTGGTTCTGTTCGTCAAAGCTGTGGGAATAAAGTCGCTTGTATGTAGATAAAAGTCTCATGAATAGGACTCAGTTGAGAGATTGCTGACCTTATTGAGGACTCTTCTCCCGGGTGTTGCAAGGCTCTTGGTAGTCGGACGTCCCAAGGCGGCAGAAGCAGTGAAGAGGATCTTGCTGTGGCACAAGCCTTTAATCCCAGCACTCTGGAGGCAGAGGTAGGCGGATCTCTGTGAGTTCGAGACCAGACTGGTCTACAAGAGCTTGTTCCAGGACATGCTCCAAAGTCACAGAGAAACCCTGTCTCGAAACCCCCCCCCCCAAAAAAAAAAGAGGACCTTGCTGAGGGTGCCTTCCTTGATCCCATCTCCTCCTCTGGTTTCTTGGGTCTGTGATGTCCCTATAGGGAGGGGCTCAGTTGTCACTGTCCTCGCCGTCCCCATTTGCACCCAGCTGGCTCAGGGAGGAAGCCCCGGATGTCTGGGGTGCAAGTTTGGCTGTCTTCCTGCTCTCGGGGGCACCCACGGTGGGCATGTGGAGCTGCTTTGAGCCCCCATTGGCTTCTGCCTTCACCTTCTTTGGCACCACAAACCCGACCAGCTGTGCCCTGATGCCCACTGCCTCTGCCTTCCTCTTGGCCTTCGGTGCCTCGTCCAGGTTTTGCTGCTGAGCATGGTCAGGAAGGCAGAGCTTCATTTTCTGAGTAAAGATCCTCCAGAAGCCTGCATTGGCTGGTGGCAAGCCTCCTCCAGCAATGCCACAGTCTCAAGCTCATCTTCCTCTTCCTGCTGCTGTCGCTGCTGTTCCTGCGACAGGAGGTGCTGCGGCAGCATGGCCTCAAAGTCCACATGTGCCTGCCGCTGGTTCAGGTCCTTCAGCTCCTGCAGTTGTTCCAGCACCTCCATCTCCAGCTTTGATTCTTTGGTGGGGTTCTCTAGGACCTTCATGGGGTTGTTGAGTTCCTCATCCTCGTGCTCCTTCTGCTCGCGCTTTTCCTCCTCCTCCAGGAGCTTCTCGGTCTGGAAGCTGCGTGTGACTCCATGCTCCACAGTGTAGTCCGTGTTCTCAGGGTCGGTCTTGAAGGTGATCTCGGCCAAGCAGCACATGCACTTGACATACAAGCGGATGATAGGCAGGCCACGATAGGCCTTGTTCTGGATTGTTTCCTTTACTTGCATGCATTAAACTTCTTCCCCCTGGTGATGTATTCTCCACACGTCTTGTACCTCATGTTGAAGGGGGCCATCAGTCGAACCACATACTGCCAGTCCTCGGGTCGAAGGAGTTTAGGGATCTTGGACGGGTCTAAGTCAGGTGGGGAGTATTTGTTTAGAACTTTCCGTTCCAACATATTCGCTTCAGGAACAAAGCAGCACTGAAGTTTGGATTCACGAGAATGTTCAAAATGGGCATCTATACCAGTGTCAAATGTGGGTGGGAGAGGAAGGCAGGGTGGGCAAGGAGAAGGAATTCCCGCCTACTGGTAATAAAGCTCCAGGTTCATCCCATCATGGATTTCATAATCTCCCAGAGACACACGGTCCTTAAAAATCGTGTACCACTTTTTCAGGACTATCTTCGTCCACCAGGTGCCAGTTTGGGCCGCTATCAGCTTTTTCAAGTCCCCGATGGTGTCATCTGTGTTACATTTGACACGGACTTTCTTCCCCAGACGGTCATTGCAAACCACCTCAATCATCATCGTCGCTGGACCTCTAACCCTCGGCTTACAGAAAAAACAACTCCTAGTTCGAATGCCAAGCTCTGAGTAGCAGTGTTCTTCGTTCACCTCGGAATTTATTAGGACAGGTGCCGCAGTTTTCTTGACGTCACTTCCTGGGCTGGCTTACTGACGTAGTTCACAGGCAGCGTTCTCATTGGCTGTGGTATCTGACTCTTCAACCAGGAATAGTACTTTCCACTAATAGAAAAACCTAAGCCTCTGGTGAGAGCTCGAACAGTTTTTACAGACAGTTCTCAAAAGGAAATTTTGGAGAAAAAGCAAGTTTCTCAAGGTCTATGTAGTATTCCAAACACCTGTTGGTAATGTCTCTGTCCAAGTAACTGAAATAAGAGCCTGTATTCCAGCATTACAAGTGTTTCCAGATGAGTCAATTAATATATATACTGATAGTATTTACTTGTCTCAAATAATTGCTCCTTTAGAAACTGCTCCTTATATTTCTCCTGTGTCCTGATAATACAACAACAATTATACTGTCTACAATATTTATTATGGTCCAGGCGGGATCCCATTTTTGTGAGTCATATCAGAGGTCGTACTCAATTACCTGGACCTCTGACCCAGGGTAGTCAACTCGCAGATGCATATACCCGAATATTATTTGCCAGCCCAAAAGAAAAGGCTTCTAAACTCCCTAAAATATATCACTGGAATGCTCGTTCTTTGCAGCACCATACTGGTCGCTCCAGAGCCACTGCCTAACAAAAGACCACCAATGTTCCGCCTGTGCTCCTTTTCATAACACACCCATGGCTGGAGTTAATCCTCGTGGTCTTAAAATGAATGACATTTGGCAGATGGATGTTACCCACCTGCCCTCAGCTGGAAAGCTGAAATACGTGCATGTTTCAGCTGATACCTGCTCTAAAGTAGTTTTTGCTTCGATGCATAGTGGAGAGAAAATGAAGGATGTGACAGCTCATTGCCTGCTGGCCTTTGCTTATATGGTGGGCTTACCTAATGTTTTAAAAGAGATAATGATCCTGCATAGAGTAGTGGAAAATTTCAAACTTTTTTGTAAATAATGATATTAAACATATTCCAGGTATTCCATAAAACTCTAGTGGACAAGCTATAGTAGAAAGAATGCCTGTGGTCATAAAACAGTATTCCACACAAATAAATAGAGGGAGTATATTCTCTCTCCCAATACAAAATTGGCTTCTATTTTATTATTCTAAATTTTTTAACTGATGGTTGTGAGGGTCAATCGGCCATGGAAAAGCATGGGAATAAAAGTTCTCAGTCTTTAGGATGGGTACGATGGAAAGACCTTCTTACAGGACAACAGAAGGAACTCATGCCCCTCTTGGCTAGGATGAGAGGAGCTGTTTTGTATTTTTCCTCCAGGAATGGACAAGCCCGTTTGGGTATCACAGCAAAATGTTCGGGCTGTGGAAAAGGTTGGGAAAGGATCCTCTGAAAAGCCTGAGAATATGGATAACTGAGTACACATAAAGCTTGCGAAAATTTGGCAAAGAATAGAGTAAAGCATGTTTTCTGGGTAGCAGCAATTTCTCAGGTCTGTTCTGCTTGCTAGAGGCTAGCAAGTGCTCTCATCTAAGAGAGGCTTCCTGACTCAGCTGTAGCTGCAGACCCCTGCAGCTCTTTTAAGAGGTCCTGTCATGAAACACTTAAATGCTGTTGATGAAAAGCTGCATGCATGCTTTTCAGTTTTCTGCTGTAGCAGGAAAAGGCTGCACAGTTTGAAAATGCTGGCTTTCTGGGCTGTCCTGCCAGGGCAAACTCTGACTGTTTTTTCATGCAGGAGTGCCAGCTGGACTGACTGTGGTCTGTGAGCAGAATGCTGAAGCTTGCTTGCTTGCAGAGACCTTAAAATACCCTAGAGTTGTAGCAATAAAAATGGCTACAGCCAATACCTCTGCCATGAGGCTGGGAAGCTAAGGAGTGAGCTGGATCCAGCTGTCGAAGTCACGCCTTTAATCATCCCCTAAAATACTCACATGGTCAGGAAGAGAGATATAGTGTAAAGAGTGATTCAAAGATGAAGTAAACGTCTACATGGTTTACAGTGTGTTAAAAATATGTGCAGGCTAAAGGTTAAAGTTCTTAAAAGTAAAGAAGAAAGAAAGAGAGTAGTAGGGTGTGGTGGTACATACCTTTAATCCCAACACTTGGGAGACAGAGTAGATTGAAATCTGTGACTCTAAGGTGTGGTAGCAGGCAGCTTTAATCCCAAAGCCTGGGAGTCAGAGGCAGTTGGATATCTGTGAATTTAAGGTGTGGTAGCACACACATTTAATCCTAGCACTGGGCAGGGAGAGACCAGTGGATCTCTGTGAGTTCAAGGATAGCTTGGTCTACAGAGTTATTCCAGGACAAAGATATACAGAGACCCTGTCTCAAAAAGTAAAAGTTAAAATAAAAGAAATAGAAATTAAAATAAAGCCACATATATTTGGAAAATACACATAGAATCTTGTTACTGTATGCTATTATGTTCGCTTTGAATTGTTTGAATGCTGAGGAAGGAGCAATCTGCTAAAAGACTTTTGTTTATAAAGCCTGCTGAACTAACCCAAGATAGGTATTTTGAAAATACCTTGGCTTCAAAACTGAAGTCAAAATGTATTTTACTTTGGAGAAGAGATTTTGCTTTTGTTTCCAAAGAAAATGAGAGGCTGTGGATTCATTTTGAGTTAAGAAAAATCCAGTTTGAATAATGAAGACCACCTGAGAAATCTCTAGTAAGAACAGATGTCCCAGATGTCTGAGGCCAAAAGCAGCTTCTTTATTGAACAATGGTATTCACAGCTTCCAGAGTAGAATCCCACATCACAGAGGCAGGTAGACCACTGTGAGCTCAAGGCTAGCCTGGTCTACAAAGTGAGTGGCAGGACAACCAGAGCTACACAGAGAAACCCTGTCTCAGAAAACAAAATAAATAAATAAATAAAAATAAAGGCTGCCAATAAATGATGCTTCCCTATAATGTTTCTGATTTCAGTGTTGTTTTAGCACCCCCTCTCACCCTTAAACTTAGACATATACTCCATAAAAGACGCTTTACAGTTTTATGTGCAAAGAAGGGAATTCTTTAAGAGAAGAAAAATAAGCAGGGGCTAGTTCTGGGACCTAGCTACACCTGGCTTTCTTACCATTAATGACATTCTGGGTTTGTTCCCTAGCACTGTATAAACTTGGTGTGGAACATGCGTATAATCCCAGCATTCATGAGGAAAAATCAGGATGATCAAATTGGAAGCCACCCTAGGCTACATGGGACTTGTCTGAAGAGAGAGGGGAGAGGATATATTAAATTCAATCTTCTAACATTAGTTAGTCTTGCTGGCAGTGGTGGCACTGCAAAGGCAGCAGATCTCTGTGAGTTTGAGGCCAGCCTGGCCTACAGTGACGTTCAGGATAGTCAGGGCTATACCAGGAAACCCTGACTCAGAAAATAATAAATAAATAAATAAATAAATAAATACACCCCCTCAATCAATCTTTCAACCTGCTGTAAATTACGTCCCCTGAGCAATGTCACACAGAAAGATCGAGAACCATGGGTGACATCTAAAAATGACTGTCTCTCTTCAGATGCCTCCACCCAAATCTTGGGTAAAGATTCCTTTTTCTGTGTCTTTTTCTCTTGATGACTGTCCCTAAAACTCTACTTAATAAACTCATATACTGCTGGGCATGGTGACACCCACTATTTATTCCAGCATTTGGGAGGCAGAGGCAGGAGGATTTCTGTGAGTTCAAGGCCAACCTGGCCTACGTAGTGAGTTCAATGAGAGCCAGAACTATGTAGAAAAGTCCTATACCAAAACAAAAATAATGAAGAAACAAACTTGCGTTCTTTGCTTCACTCTGACATATTCCTACTGTGAGTCAGAGATCAGACTGCAGTTGAATGGGGTGGGGATGGTTGGGGGGACATGTCCAGTTTCAATTTCACTTTTGAGACAGGGTCTCACGTTGCCTCAAACTCAGTATGTAGATGAATGATGGCCTTGTATTTCCAGTCTTCCTGCTTCTCCCTCCCGGTGCTGAATGACAAGCACGAGCACCACACTTGGTTTATGTCGTCCTGGGAATCAAACACAGGGTTTTGCTGCATGGGAGGCAAATGTTGTATTCACCGAGCAGTATCTCCAACCTTCACAGCAAAAGCTCTGAACAACAGCCAAGGCAGGGTTATCAGGGACTCGGGTGTCAAATGTTACTATGACCAAGAAGAAGAGATGGTGACTTTTAGACCAAGTCTAGGCAGTGTGGGCAGACACAAGGCAGGGTACTAGCCCAGTCTCTAAACACAACAGTTTCTGCTCAGATTGATAGGCCTGCAACCAGCTACCTAAATGGAGCCTGTGTCTGAGAAGAGCAACTGGTAGATGCTCAGTGAATGGTTGTTCCTCCAAGGTGGAGGTGTCTCCCACTGGTAACCTCAGACAGTCCCAAGCCCACAGCAGGCAGCTGGGCAGGACATGCTGAAGCGCTGTAAGCCATGAGTAGATAGGACCGAAGGAGGCAGAGGTTGCTGGAAGGGGTGACTAGAGCAGACAGGTGGGGCAAGGCTGTCACTGGGAACAGTTGCTGGTATCAGAAAGGGGAGGCCCAGGGCTGCGTGTACAGAGTGAAACCACTGTGCCACAGAGCCAGCTGTCAGCCACTCAAGCTCAGCCAACAGCCTAAGCATCAGGCCGACTCCCTATGTCAGCTGCTGGGTCTACACAGCTGCTTCTAGGACAGTGGGAAGGGAGGTGGGAGGTCAGAGTCTGTGAGAGGAGCCAAGGGAAGACATGCTGAACATATTCCATGAGGGGAGAGAAAACAGCATAAACCATAAGCCCTAGGGGAAAACATATAAGAATGATTGGGCCAGACTCTAATGGGGATGCAAATACATTACTACAGAGCCCAAAGAGGGCTCTTACAAACCTGGAGAGTGTGCCTGGGAACGGTCAGGAGTGCCACTTCACAAGTTGTACATAGAGATTGCTCTCCTCCAGCTTCATCTAGAGGTTCAATGCATTTTTTTTTTCAAATTAAAATCACAAGAAGAAAAAAACAGGGCCACATTAAAGCCACAAGAAAATAGTTGATGCAGTTCTAGCCAAGTACCAAACAGTGACTTGTGTTTTCTTTCTGAGTCTGAGTAAGCTGGTCATAAAAATGTGTTATGAAGATCTGGGTATGGCGGTGTAATGTTTATAACCCCAGAATTTGGGGGGTAGAAGCAGGAGAATCAAGACTTCAAGATCATCCTCACTTCAAGTTCATTGCCACCAAGCCTGAGGAACTGAGCAGGAGAACCAAGCCCCAAAGATCTCCTCTGCCCTCCTGTCTTTCCTAGGTTCTTATTGTTGTGATAAACACCAAAAGCAAAGTGGGGAGGAGAAGGCTTACTCTAGCTTACAGTTATAAGTCACAGTCCACCACTGAAGGAGGTAGGGGCAAGAATTCATGGCCAGAACCTGGAGGCAGGGGTTGAAACAGGCCGCAGAGGACTGCTGCTTACTGGCTTGTTCCCATGGCTGCTCAACCTGCTTTCTTATTCCACAGAGGACCTCCTGACCAGGGATGGCACCAACCCTGCCTGCCATGGGCTGGGCCCTCCCAATCAATCATTAATGAAGAATATGCACCAGCCGGGCAGTGGTGGCTCACGCCTTTAATCCCAGAGTTTTGGAGGCAAAGGAAGCTGGATCTCTGAGTTTGAGGCCAGCCTGCTTTAAGTGGAAAAAGAAAACCGAACAGTGTAAACAACCAGTAAATAGGAATTTGTGCATGTGTGTGTGTGTGTGTGTGTGTGTAGCTTTGGCTGTCCTGAAACTCACTCTGTAGACCAGTGGGCCTTAAAATCACAAAGATCTGCCTGCCTCTGCCTCCCAAGTGATGGAATTAAAGGCATTTACTACCATGCCCAGCTGGGAACATTTTTCTTATAATGGACCTAATAGGTGTGGTGGAACAACACAAGCACTATAGCACATTCCTGCTGCCCCATGAGAACAAAAGTAAGGGAGCTGGAGACATGGCTCAGTGGTTATGAGCACTGGTTGTTCTTCCAAAGCACCTGGGTTCAATTCCCAGCACCCACTTGACAGTTTACAACTGTCTGTAGCTCCAGTTCCAAGGTGATCTGACCTTCTCAAACAGACATAGACGCAGGCAGAACACCAATACCCATTAAATAAATCGTTTTTAAAAAAGTATTCAACTATGCATTCAAACAATTCAAAAAGAGCATAATAGCATACAGTATTAAGATTCTCTGTGTATTTTCCATCTACATGTGGCTTTATTTTAACCTCTAAATTCTCTGTACATCTTTGTCCTGGAATAACTCTGTAGACTAGGCGGTCCTTGCCTCCCCAGTGGTAGGATTAAAGGTGTGAATAACTCTGTAGATCCACCCGACACTGCCTCCCCAGTGCTAGGATTAAAGGTGTGTGGTAATTCACAGAGATCCATTTGTCACTGCCTCCCAGGCATTGGGATTAAAGGTCTATGCTACCACACCTTGAAGTCACAGAGGTCAATCTAACTCTGCCTCCCAAGTTTTTGGATTAAAGGTGTGTACCACCACACCGATTACTCTCTCTTTCTTCTTTAAGAACTTTAACCTTAAGCCTGCATATATTTTTTAACACACTGTAAACCATTTAGAAGTTTACTTCATCTTTGAATCACTCTTTACAGTATATCTCTCTCTTTCTGACCACGTGAGTCTTTTAGTGGACTTTGATGGCTGGATCCAGCACATTCCTTAGCTTCCCAGACTCATGGCAGAGGTACTGGCTGTAGCCATTTTAATTGCCACAACTCTAAGGTGTTTCAAGGTCCCTGCTGGCAAGCAAGCTACAGCATTCTGCTCACAGACCACATTCAGTCTGGCTGGCTGCCTGCCTGAAAAAAGACTCAGAGTTTGCCCTGGCAGGACAGTCCAGAAAGCCAGTATTTTTAAACGTGGCAGCTTTTTTCCTGCTGTGGCTAAAAACCAAAAAGCATGCATTCAGCTTTTCATCAACACCGTTTAAGTTTTTTGATGCAGCATCTCTTAGGAGCTGCAGGGTGTTGCAGCTAAAGCTGAGTCAGGAAGCCTGTCTTAGATGAGAGGAACACATGCTTGCCTCTTGCAAGCAGAGCAGACCTGAGAAATTGCTGCTACCAAGAAAACATGCTTTACTCTATTCTTTCCCAAGCTTTCTCAATCTTACTGTGGACTCAGTTATCCACATTTCAGGTTTATCACAGGATCAGTTACCATTCTTTTCCACAGCCTGAACATATCGCTCTGGTACCCAAATGGGCTTGTCCATTCCTGGAGGAAAAACACAAACAGCTCCCCTCACCCTAGCCAACAGGGGCGTGGGCTCCCTCCATTGTCCTGTAAGAAGGTCTTTTTATCATCCCCATCCTAAGGACTGAGAACTTTTATTCCAATGTCTTTCCATGGCCGAGTGAACTTCACAATCCACACTCAAAAAGTTTAGGATAGGGCTGGAGAGATGGCTCAGTGGTTAAGAGCATTGCCTGCTCTTCCAAAGGTCCTGAGTTCAATTCCCAGCAACCACAAGGTGGCTCACAACAATCTGTCATGAGGTCTGGTGCCCTCTTCTGGCCTGCAGACACACACACAGTCAGAATATTGTATACACAATAAATAAAAAAAAATTTAGGATTAAATAGAAACCAATTGTGTATTGGGAGAAAGAATATACTCCCCCTATTTATTTTTGTGGAATACAGTTTTATGACCACAGGCATTCTTTCTACTATAGCTTGTCTAGCAGGGTTATATGGAATACCTGTCATATGTTTAATATCATTACTTACACAATAGGTTTGAAATTTTCCACTAGTATATGCATGACTATTAGCTGTTTTAATAACATGAGGTAAGCCCGTATAAGCAAAGGCCAGCAGGCAATGAGCTGTCACATCCTTCATTTTCTCTCCACTATGCAGCAAAGCAAACACTACTTTAGAGCAGGTATCAACTGAAACATGCACGTATTTCAGCTTTCCAGCTGAGGGCAGGTGGGTAACATCCATCTGCCAAACGTCATTTGGTGTAGACCACGAGGATTAACTCCAGCAATGGGTGTGTTATGAAAAGGAGCACAGGGGGAACATTGGTGGTCATTTGTTAGGCAGTGGCTCTGGAGCGACCAGTATGGTGCTGCAAAGAACGAGCGTTTCAGTGATATTTTTTTATGGAGTTTAGAAGCCTTTTCCTTGGGGGCTGGCAAATAATATTTGGGTATATGCATCTGCGAGTTGACTACCCTCGGTCAGAGGTCCAGGTAATTGAGTACGACCTGTAATATGACTCACAAAAATAGGATCCCGCCTGGACCATAATAAATATTGTAGACAGTATAATTGTTGTTGTATTATCAGGACACAGGAGAAATGTAAGGAGCAGTTTCTAAAGGAGCAATCATTTGAGACAAGTAAATACTATCAGTATATAAATTAATTGACTCATCAGGAACATTTGTAATGCTAGAATACAGGCTGTTATTTCAGCTGCTTGAGCAGAGACATTACCAACAGGTGTTTGGAATACTACACAGACCTGGAAAACTAGCTTTTTCTCCCAAATTTCCTTTTGAAGAACTGTCTGTAAAAACAGTTAGAGCTCGCCGAGCTTGGTGGCGCAAGCCTTTAATCCCAGCACTCGGGAGGCAGAGGCAGGCGGATCTCTGTGAGTTTGAGACCAGCCTAGTCTACAGAGCTAGTTCCAGGACAGGAACCAAAGCCACAGAGAAACCCTGTCTCAAAAAAAAAAAAAAGTTAGAGCTCCCACCAGAGGCCTAGGTTTTCCTATTCCTGGAAAGTACTATTCTTGGTTGAAGGGTCAGATACCACAGCCAATGAGAAAGCTGAAGCCTGTGACTACGTCAGTAAGCCAGCCCAGAAAGTGACGTCAAGAGGACCTGGGCGCCTCTCCTAATAAATACCGAAGGGACGGAAGAACGCTGCTACTTTGATCTCTGCCTTCGAACTAGGAGCTGTGTCCTCTGTTAGTTCGAGGGGTTAGAGGTCCAGCCACGATGATGATTGAGGTGGTTTGCAATGACCGTCTGGGGAAGAAAGTCCGTGTCAAATGTAACACCGATGACACCGTCCGGGACTTGAAAAAGCTCATAGCGGCCCAAACTGGCACCAGGTGGACGAAGATAGTCCTGAAAAAGTGGTACACGATTTTTAAGGACCACGTGTCTCTGGGAGATTATGAAATCCATGATGGGATGAACCTGGAGCTTTATTACCAGTAGACGGGAATTCCTTCTCCTTGCCCACCCTGCCTTCCTCTCCCACCCTCATTTTGACACTGGTATTAGATGGCCATTTTGAACATTTACGTGAATCAAAACTTCAGTGTTGCTCTGTTCCTGAAGCAAATATGTCAGAACGGAAAGCTCTAAACAAATACTCCCCACCCGACTTCGACCCGTCCAAGAACCGGAAACTGAAGCGACCCAAGGACCTGCAGTACCTGGTTCGACTGATGGCCCCCTTCAACATGAGGTGCAAGACGTGTGGGGAATATATCACCAAGGGGGAAGAAGTTTAATGCACGCAAGGAAACCGTCCAGAACGAGGCCTACCTGGGCCAGGCTCTCTCCCGCTTCTACATCAAGTGCATGTGCTGCTTGGCCGAGATCACCTTCAAGACAGACCCTGAGAATGCGGACTACACCGTGAAACATGGACCCACACACAGCTTCCTGGACGAGAAACTCCTGGAGGAGGAGGAAAAGCGTGTGCAGAAGGAGCTCGAAGATGAGGAGCTCAACAACCCCATAAATGTCCTAGAGAACCGCACTAAAGACTCGAAGCTGGAGATGGAGGTGCTGGAAAACCTGCAGGAGCTGAAGGACCTGAACCAGCGGCAGACACACGTGCACTTTGAGGCCATGCTGCTGCAGCACCTCCTGTCGCAGGAACAGCAGCGACAGCAGCAGGAGGAGGAAGGTGAGCTTGAGACTGTGGCCTTGCTGGAGGAGGCTCACCGCCAGTGCAGGCTTCTGGAGGATCCCGACTCAGAAGATGAAGCTTCGCCTCCCAAACCATGCTCAGCAGCAAAAGCCAGCCCCACAGACATTCTGGACGAGGCACGGGAAGGCCAAGGGGAAGGCAGAGGCAGTGGGCAGCAGGGCACAGCTGGCCGGATTGGTGGTGCCATAGAAAGTGAAGGCGAAAGCCAACGGGTGCTCAGAGCAGCTCCAGATGCCTGCCGTGGGTGCCCCCCAAGAACAAGAAGACAGCCAACCTTGCACCCCAGACACCCGGGGCCTCCTTCCTGAGCCAGCTGGGTGCATATGGGGACAGCGAGGACAGTGACAGCTGAGCCCCTACAGCGACATCACAGACCCAAGAAACCAGGGGAGGAGATGGAATCAAGGAAGGCACCCTCAGCAAGGTCCTCTTGACCGTGTTTGCCATGGTGGGACCTTCAATTGGCCAGGACTCAATTGGTCCCAACATTTTTGCTTCCTGTTTCAGCAGTGAGAGAAGTCCTTGGCAAGGTCAGCAGTCTCTCATGGAGCCTGCACTCCTGAGACTTTTATCTACATAACAAGACAATCTACTTATTCTCCGTGCTCTTCTGTGTATCTGCCGACCCTACTTTGTCTCTCGCTCCAGGAAGCCTCATGATGCTATTCCTTTCTGTAGCTCAGGATGGTACATGGGCCACAATGCTTGCATCCTTATGTTTTTTTCCATGTAGAACTACCATGAGTCTATACGTAATTAAAATTGATTTCCCCCATCAATCTGTTTTCTGATCAGTTTCATTTATACACTAGGCTAAGAATTTTGGAAAGTCCAGGGACGCAGCAAAGCCTTGGGCAGAATTTACTGTTCTCTGAGGCAATATTAAGGAACGGTAAGGAGGCCAGGCCTGCCTGGGGTAGACAGTAAGAGGGGCAAGAATCAGAGGCGGGGGACTGGAGAGATGGCTCCCTGGATCAAAGCAGTTAGCTGCCCTTGCAGAGGAACCAGGTTCAGTTCCCAGCATCCACATGGTGGTTCACAACTATGTGTAACTCCAGCTCCAGAAGATCTGATGCCCTCTTCTGGCCTCAGCAGGCACTGCATGCATGCGGTTCATAAATATACCTGTAGGCAAAACCCTCATATACATGAATTAAAAATAAATAAGTAGGGGCTGGAGAGAAGGCTCAGTAGTTAAGAGTACTAACTGCCCTTCCAGAGAATCTGGGATTTCGTTCCCAGCACCCACACGGTGGCTCACAACTGACTGTAAAATTCCAGTCCCAGGGGATCTGAAGCCTTTTTCTGGCCTCCATGGGCAATCCTATAGTTTATAGACATCCTCACAGACAAACAAAAACAAAACATAAATATACCTAAAATAATCATAATTTTGTTTCGTTTTTTTTGAGACAGGGTTTCTCTGTATCTTTGGAGCATGTTCTGGAACTACCTCTTGTAGACCAGTCCTGCCTTCAACTCACAGAGATCTGCCTACCTCTGCCTCCCGAGTGCTGGGATTAAAGGCGTGTGCCACCTCCACCTGGCTCTTCATACTTTGTTAAAGGAAAAGAAATTATGAATATCCTTACAAATCCATAAAACATTTTTTAGAGGTATTAGAAACAAAATCAGGAAAAAACCAATCAGGAAGGGAGGTCATATAATCTATGGCCCCTGTGGGGAGATACCAGGACCCTTTGGGGTTTTTTTAGTGTTTGTTTTTGTTTATATTTTGGCTTGGTTTGTCTGGTTCAGGGCTGGGAGTAAAACCTGGGTCCTCAAATTTTGTTGGTGAGAGGCCCATTACTGAGCTATACATCCTGAAACAATGGCATTAACTGCTAAGGCCTTAACTTGACTTAAAGATGAGGTGGGAACCAGGGGCCATTGGAAGAGAGGAGGGCAGATTCAATTCATGCTTTCTAAAGACCATTTGGGCCATGAAAGATGAGTAGGAACATAGCCTAATGGTACTGTAGTAATCCTAGAGAATTCTCAGGAGAGTAGTTACAATAGCATCAGAGAGTCTGCAGCCACAGGCTAGATAAAGTAATCAGGGGTAAAGGAGTGGAGACACTCACTGTTCCTTGTCTGCAGGCACTTGAGGAGTTAGTTCCCTTAACCCTCTGGGCCCCAGAGTCTAGAGACTTCCACTCAGGAAAAGCCTTTGACACAGAAAAGAGTTTCATAAAAATCAGCATGAAGCAGAGTTGAAGTTTATTAAAGGACATCTTTAGCAGATTGAAGAACAGGGATTAATAGAAAGAAACTCAGGGAAAAAGTGAATCATAAGTGTAGGTATGATTTTCCCAAAGGAGGACACACACACACATCCACAGGCACGCAATGCGCGCGCACACACACACACACACACACACACACACACAGAAACATAGTTTTGGTGGTTTTTAAAGGTATTATGTTTAAATCCTAATCATTCAAATGAGATCACAGGACAGTTCCTGAAATATGCAGGGAGGATCAGAGCAGATCAGACGAAACACTAGGTCAGGATTAACGATATTGGTCACTTGGTAGAGTGAATCCCTGGGTTTGATCCCTGGCACCACATAAACCAGGGGTGCTGGTGCAACCCTGTAATCCTAGCACATTGGAGATAGAGACAAGAGGATAAGAAGTTCAAAATCATCCTTTCTACAAGTCAGCTCATGGTTGTGGTGGCTTGAATAGGTATGGCCCCCATACACTCATGTCTTTAAATGCTTGGCACATAAGGAGTGTCACTATTAGGAGGTGTGGCCTTCTTGGAGTAGGTGTGTCACTGCAGAGGTGGGCTTTGAGGTGTCCCCTATGCTTAAGCCTTGCCCAATATGACAGTTACCTACCGTTGCCTGTGGATCAAGATGTAGAACTTTTCTGCTTCTTCTCCAGCACCAGGTCAGCCTGCACCACACCATGCTTCTCACCATGATGATAATGGACTAAATCCACGGAACTGTAAATGTTTTCCTTTATGAGAGTAGCCACGGTCATGGTGTCTCTGCACAGCAGTAGAAACCCGAACCAAGACAAAGACTAACCTGGCTATGTAAAATCCTGTCTGGAAAATAAAACAAAAATCCCACCCGATCCCGGGGATGTAGGAGGTCAGGGTAGCTTCGCTGTGAACCAAGGTGAGTCGTCTTCTTTGTGAGACTCCCACAAAATATCTGGGGAAGAGTGAGGCCCTAACCGAGATCATATGAATCGAGGCGTTAAGTTTGGTTTATTGCCGTTTCAACATTTTTATTTGAAAACATAGATATATAAAAGAAATATTGTCCCCGTGCGGGCAGCTTTCACAACAAGTGTTGTTAATTGTGCTGGGATTGCTGCTTTTCAGCAGCGAGAGCTTTAACTAGACTCAGATGGAGGGGTTCCTTTCCGTTCTCATGCTCCCATATTTCTCCTATTTTATCCCAGCTTGAGCTCTCTGCCACTGAGCTACACCCTCAGCCCCAGATTTCTTTTTGGTCCAGACTGGCCTCAAACTCTAGGGAGCCCAGGAAAGTCTTGAACTGTTCATCCTCCTGTCTCCACCTTCCAAATGTTGAGATTTTAAGTATAAGCCACTATGCCTTGCTCACAGGTTCCATTTTTTAAAAGATCTGATTTTTTGGGGGGCTGGAGAAATGGCTCAGTGGTTAAGAGCAGTGGCTGCTCTTCCAGAAGACCCGGTTTCAATTCCCATCACCCAGATTAAAAATTATCTGATTTTATTTATTTATATTTTTCTTCTTCTTGAGACAGGGTTTCTCTGTGTAGCCCTGGATGTCCTGGAACCTGATCTGTAGACCAGACTTATACTTAGAGATCCACCTGCCTCTGCTTCCTACCTGCCTCTGCCTCTGCCTCCCAAGTGCTAGAATTATAGGCATTTTTTTTAAAGGTGAGTGTACAGTGGCCCTTGCTTTTAATCCCAGAAAGGCAGAGGCAGGCAGATCTTCAAGAGTCAGCTTGGTCTACATACTGAGTTCTAGGACAGCTAGGGCTATGTAGAATTCTTTGTTTTGCTTTTAATAAATTGTGTGTGTGTGTGTGTGTGTGTCTGATTGTGAGTGCAGTACCAGCAGAGGCCAGGAGATGTTGGATCCCCTGAAGCTGCAGTGGTTGTGAGACACCTGACATGGATCCTCCTGAGGAACAGTTTGTGCTTTTCACTGCTGAGCCGTCCCTCCATCCTCCCAATCCATTTTGAAAGTTAAGCCATGTAGATTTACTAATGAGCAGAAACAGCATCAGGAAGCAAGGAATCTAGGGAAACACCCCAAATCACTGGAAAATGCAACCCCCAGTTACAGAAGGTGGGGAAACCTGTGGAAAGGGCAGGCCTGTCCATTCATCCCGTGACCCTGAGTGGGTACTTGGACCCTCAACCTCAGGTCCCTCACTTCTGAGACAGCTGAACTGATGCTTCCTCCAAGGAGGAGAAGAGATTGAGCAGGATCAGTAGCAGGCTGACTAGGGTGGTTTGAGGGGTGGGGGTTGGGCTGGGTGGGGCAAACTTGTGACTACTGAACCTGATCTCAGAAGGAAGAGAGGACTGGATTCCTGGAAATCTGCCTTCTTGCCTCTGTTTTCCTTCTTATTCTTTAACAGGGTCTCCTCCAGGGTCTTTGATGATGATGGGTACAGTTAATGACAAGCGACCATATTCCCACAGCTTTGAAGTTTGCAAAAACACTTCATGGCAAACAGAACCCATCGGATGACTATATCAAACTAAAGATTAAAAATTTTTTAGAGACATATATAGATCTAATCTACATGGGAAGTAGAAGAAGACGAGATCTCCTGAGTAAATTGAGAGTATGGGGACCTTGGAGGAGGGTTGAAGGGGAGGGGAGAGGCAGCGAGGGGAGCAGAGAAAAATGTAGAGCGCAATAAAAATCAATTTAAAAAAAACTTAAAACAATTAAAAACAGAAAAATTTAAATATCTATTTATTTATTATGTATACAATAGTCTGCCTGCGTGTGTGTCTGTAGGCCAGAAGAGGGCACCAGACCTCATCCCAGATGGCTGTGAGCCGCCATGTGGTTGCTGGGAACCAAACTCAGGACCTCTGGAAGAGCAGGAAATGCTCTTAACCACTGAGCCATCTCTCCAGCCCAGAAAGGAAAAAAAAAATTTTTTTTTACTGTTCCAAAAAGCTTCTTTTTTTTGCTGAGATTTTTAAAAATATTATTTTGAGTATTGAGTGGTGTGTTGCCTGCATGTATGTCTGTGTGAAAGGTGTCAGATTCTCTGGAACTAGAGTTACAGTTATGAGCTGCCACATGGGTGCTGGGAATTGAACTTGCATCCTTTGGGTTTTCTTTTCTTTCTTTTTTTTTTTTTTTTTTTTTTTTTTTTTTTTTTTTTTTTTTTTTTTTTTTTTTTTTTTGAGACAGGGTTTCTCTGTGGCTTTGGAGCCTGTCCTGGAACTAGCTCTGTAGACCAGGCTGGCCTGGAACTCACAGAGATCCGCCTGCCTCTGCCTCTCGAGTGCTAGGATTAAAGGCATGTGCCACCACCGCCCTACTGAACCTGCATCCTTTGGAAGAGCAGTCAATTCTTAACCCCTGAGCCGTCTCTGCAGCCCCCAAATTAAAGAATTTAATTAAATCAATTGAGGACAAGAGGGACGTCAGTCCACCAAAAGTCGTACCATTTTCCTTCTGCCATGTCCTTTTGATCTGGACTGCTTCCAGAAGCTGCTGCCCACCACCAGGGTGGCTCTTCCTGCATCAGTTAAGGCAATCAGGATGTCCTTCAGGAGAGGCTCCCAACTTAGATCACTTTAATTTGTGGCAAGTTGCCATTAAAGCCAACCCTAATAGCCACTATCTCTCCTGAATCCAGCCCTGGATTACAGCTTCTTTCTGAAGGAGAATGAAATTCTTCTGAAGACTTATTTATTCATGTATTTTGTGTATATGAGTCTGTCTTCACACACACCAGAAAAAAGGAATCTGATCCAATCACAGAGGGTTGTGAGCCACCATGTGGTTGGTGGGAAGTGAACTCAGGACCTCTGGAGAACAGTCAACTGAGCCGCCTCTCCAGCCCTGATAACAAAATTCTTAAAATAAAAAAATACAAAACCAAATAAAATACAGGTCATACATACACCCAACCAGACATAGCTGGAACGCCTGTGTGTGTGTGTGTGTGTGTGTGTGTGTGTGTGTGAGACCTCGTTTAGTCTAAGGCAGTGGGATGACCTGAGAACGTCTTGAACTGCATGTCCCTCCTCCTGTTCAGGAGTGGACATGCCATTCGGTTAGGACAGGAGCTGTGGGTGCCACCCTCTGCCTCTGAAGATGGGCTACAGAGAACCCGAAGGCCCTCACTGGCTTGGCCCCTGGAGTAGCATGGAAGGGGTTAGGAAATGTGTCCGTACACAGCATTACTGCATCTGAGGTATCAACCACTGCTGTCGTCTTCTGTGCTTCCTCCTGTTCTTTCTCCACTTCCAGAGGTAACACATAAAGTGACCAGAGCCCAGAAGAGTCCACATGCTTCGGGTCACAGAGCCGACTCAGCTCCGTCTTTCCCAGGGGAATTCCTGCATGTGTCCCCTCCTTCCTTCCCAGACTGGAAGAGGGACCAGCTGTACTCAGTATGCCAGGTGCTAGAACACAGCTGTTCCCTCATTGTAGCCCTCCACACCCAAGTGAGCTGAGCAGGGGGGAGGCTAAGGGGGGTGGGGCTACCTCGTGCTAGCCAGTGATGCTGTGTCCACAGTAGGCAAATGCATCCGGAGATTGATTCGGAGCAGCAGTTCTGACTGGTGAGAGCCACCACTGACCGGTTAGAGGTGGTGAATGGGCGGGCAAGGAGTAGAGGCCTCGGGTTAGAATATGCAAAGGTGTGTGTGTGTGTGTGTGTGTGTGTGTGTGTGTATGTGTGTGTGTGTGTGCGCGCGCGTGTGTAGGGGGGGTTGATTAAAGGAAGTGGGTACTGGACAGTAACAGTGCCAGGGAAGGCCAGAACAGCAAGCTGTAGCCCCAGCTCCCCCGCACCCTGGGGCTCAGTTCCCATCCGGGCTAACAGTAAATTAACCCCCTGAGCCAGCTGTCTTGGTGCGAGAAAGGATTGCACCAAAGCAAAACTAATCCATGAGCTGAAGGCTAGGAAGCACAGAGGTATGAGCTGAGGGGAGGACTCCTGTTCCCCCGCGATGTAGTCTAGAACCTGGGTTCCCTTTGCAGGTCCAGGCTCTGCCATGCCCTCTCCGCTTCTCCCGTTGCTGCTTCGATCGCTGCTCTCCCGACTCCTGCTGCCTGTTGCCCGCCTGGCCCGCCAGCACCTCCTGCCCCTGCTGCGCCGACTGGCCCGCCGACTGAGCTCCCAAGACATGAGAGAGGCTTTGCTGGGCTGTCTGCTGTTTGTCCTCAGCCAGCAACAGCCACCGGATGCTGGAGAGACCTCCAGAGTGGACCACTCCCAAAGGAAGCAGAGATTGGGCCCCCAGAAGTGAGGCCACCGGTCGTGGAAGCAGCAGCGTCCGGCCATTGAAGTGCCGTGCCGTCTTTTGGAGCGGTTCAGCCCAAGTATCTGCACTGACTGTAGAATGCCCAGTGGGAGAAGACGGGAGTGGGGGCTGAGCCCGAGAGGATTCTGACCCGAGCTCCCACCCTCCTAGGATCTCGGAGATGACAGATGTGCCGTTCTTCCGTTCTTCCCTTCTCCCGGCAGTCCCCTCTGCCAATGACCCCTGGCCTTCAGGGTAGACCTGCAAATGGGGGCAGCAAGGTCAGTTAAGAGACAATGTTCGAGACAATTTGGCTAAGAGATGGTATTTAAACCCAAACTGTCCAGTTTCCCAGACTTAATAGAAGGTTTCCTTTTGAGATAGATGTACCCTCAAAGTTCAGCATGCAGCGAGTAGTCAATAAACAATGGTGCATTGTGTTGTTTGTTTGTGAGACTGGATCTTATGTATACCAGGCTGGCCTCAGACTCCTGAGGATGGTCTTGAACCAGCTTTTCTGAGCCTCCTGCCTTTCCCTCACAAGTGCTGGCATCACAGGCACACGCCCACGTCCAAGCCCAGTCCGAGTGGCACTGGGGATGGAACTCAGAGCTTTGTATGCTAACAAGCTCTCTACCAGTGAGCTACACCTCATCCCTGTGCTGATGGACTGGGGTGCTTCTGGAAGCCGCACCATCCCTGCTCTTGCCTAGTGAGGACGGCTGTCTGCGGGAAGTTGAAGAAGGGGTGGGAGAAGACGTTGGCAGAACTTCCTTTGGATAACTTGTTCCATCTGTTTCTCCCAGTCCTCACGAGCCACAAGTTGTTCGGAGTTGTGTAACTTCATTCAGAATGTCCCCCTGTGGCCCAGGATTCTTAGGTCTGTGTTACAGGCTAACAGGCTGACAGGGGAAGGAAAATTGATCCCTGGCAAGCTCTGAAGACATCTCAGCTAGAAGTAGTGGGGAAAGGAAGACTGACCAGCCGGGCGGTGGGCAGGGGAGTAGGGACATGCCTGCCCATGATGGAGGTCATACTACACTGGAGGAAATAGGAAACCACCTAAACATTTCACTTCATCCACCTGGAGAGATGACTCAGCAGTTCAGAGCACTGGCAGTTCTTCCAGAGGACCTGAGTTCAATTTCCAGGACCCACAACCCCCAGGTCCACACTCTTCTTCTGGCCTCTAAGGGCCACAGGCCCGGGCCTGGTGCACAGACACACACTCAGGCAAAACACCCATACACAAAATAAAATAATAATTTTTAAAAACTGACTTTATTTCCCACTCCCCAGTAGAGGCCCTGGGAACCTCTGTGTGTGTGTGTGCATGCATGGGTGGGCATTTGTAGTAAGATCCTCTGGATAATTTGATTATGATTCCCATACAATAATCCTTTCAGGAATGCCTTGGGTTGCAGATTAAGATGTATATAGTGAGGAATGCATGCCTCTGTCGCGATCCCCAATCAAGCTGGGGATCCCCCTACAGGTTCCTATAGAAACTTGAGGCTGGGAAAGGGATGACATCCGAGCTGAGCTCCAGCTTCCCGCTCCCACCCCACCTGCCAGACCCTGCAGAATTTTTCTCTCCTCCAGATACTTTCTACAAAAGTCCGCAGAAACTAGAGCACATGAGACCTGTGGGGACAAGCGGATTAAAGGTAGTCCCAGTTTCCCTAAGACGTCCCTTCTCAGCCACGGCCCCTCCCCCTGGGCCTCCTCCGAGCCACCTGGTGTCCTCGGATCTCCACACCTCGACCTGCCCGGGGAGGGGCAGGCAGAGCTCGAGGTTGTCCGGCTATCTCGGTGACGGCTCCTCTGGCGCCAGCAGGCCAGTTCCGGCCTTGGCGGCGGCCACCACCCCAAGGTGAGGAGGTAGGGAGGAAGCTGGGGTCCCCACGGCCTGGGAATTTTCGTTCTCCCCCCCTCCCCGCCAGCCAGATCCGGATGACGGTCTCCAGCAGGTGCATAGGGGCGGGGCGCGGGAGGAGAGGCACTGATCGGGACTGCAGGGTTCTGCGGGTGTCACGGCCAGCAGGCCCTTTGAGGAGGATGTAGTCTAGCAGAATCCAAATCTGCCGCCTCTTGAGGAAGGATATGTTTTTCTGGGAATTTGTAGGCCCACAATTGGATGATTGTTTGGGGTTCAGACCACTTAAAATTGTCCCCTGCCTACCTGCCAACCTAGAGGGTTAGTAGACACTTCTGAGAAATCTGGCTAGAAGCCCAGGCCCAGAGCAAAGGAGCAAAGTCACTTCTTCAACCCTGACCTAGTATTCACCCAGTGCACACACCTGTCTTTTTTTGAAAAGTCGATATTGGGCATGGGTAAACTTGCTCAATTGGCTCAATCCTCAAAACTTAAGTTAAAAGAAAAAAAAATTTTTTTTCTTTTTTGGTTTTTCGAGACAGGGTTTCTCTGTAGCTTTGAAGCCTGTTCTGGAACTAGCTCTTGTAGACCAGGCTGGCCTTGAACTCACAGAGATCCACCTGCCTCCACCTCTGGAGTGCTGGGATTAAATGGTGCGCCACCACCACCCAGATGTGTTTTTCAAAGCTGCGATGCCACTTGTAACCCCAGCACTGGGAGGCAAAGGAGAGGACTGATGATTAGAAATTCTATGTCAAAGTACAAGGTGGGCCTGCCCAGTGGTGCAGGCCTTTAACCCCAGCACTTGTAAAGCAGAGGCAGGCAGATCTCTGAGTTCCAGGCCACCCAGAGCTACTTAGTGAGAGCCTGTCTAAACACACATACACACACACACACACACACACACACACACACACACACACACGGTGGCTGGAGAAACAGCTCAGTGACTACTGTTCCTGTAGAGGACCTGGGTTTGGTTCCCAGCACCCATATCAGGTAGCTCACACTGCCTATGAGTCCGGTTCCCAGAGATCAAAGCCTTCACACCTCCCTCCGCATGCGCGTGCACCTGTGTGTGGTGTACATGCAAATGCATGAAAAACAGAGAAATGTGGATGGTCCCTGAGGAGCAGCAGCCAGAGCTGTTCTCTGACCGACCACACACTGCGGATTCTGACATCGTATTCATTATGGGGTTTTTCCACTAACTTAGTTTTGTTTCATTTTTTTAACAGTGGCATTAGGACCGAGGAGCTGGCTCCGTGGCCGAGCCTGTCACTAGCATGTTAACAGTGGCATTAGGACCGAGGAGCTGGCTCCATGGCTGAGCCTGTCACTAGCATGTTTCAGGTCCTGAACTTGACTCCCCAGCATCACAAAACAACAAAACCCACATTTCCTTAAATTCCCTCTGCATTGTTAAATCTTTCGGTATCCCCTAAATTTAGCAGGTTGGGCAAGTGTTTCTCTGGGCTTCCCCTAATTCCTTTTCTGCCACAAGGCCACAGAGATTTAATCACAAACAACAGAAAACTTGAGCCATAGCTTGTGACAACCCCACAGGCCGGAGCAAACATTGTTGCTGCAAACACAGATGGCTGTTGCTAACACAGGCCTGGTGGGGAATCTAGGGCTGTGAGCTTGGTGTGAGGTAAACCTACCTTCTAATGGGGGAGGTGGAGATGAGCCAGTCCCAGCTGGGGCGGAGAACATCTGGCCAGGTGGACCAGCCCTCACAGCCCAACCTTAGGGACAGAGAGGAGAGAACCATGGAATGAGGAAGGTGGAAAGGCCTGGTAGAACTGCCTAAGAACCTGTCCAGGCCCAGGCCTGTGTGAGCTGGGTCCCCGGGGCTGTCCAGCAGAGGGCCCTGGCACCAGTGACTGGCTGAGGCTGCCTGGGGTGTGGGTGCTGGCTGGAACCCAGGCAGGGAGCTTGCCAGATGGGCTATTCTCCAATAATAACAGGCCTGGCTGTGGCCATCTGCATAGATGGTCAGGTCCCAGTGGGCGTGAGGAAAGGAACCAGCCTTCCTCGGTCTGGCCAGGACCCTCACCACTTCCCTCCTTTCTCCAGCTTCCAGCCTCCTTTGTACACAAGGACAGGCCCCTGGCCCACAGCCTGGCCATGCTAGCAGATCTGACAGCTGTGAGTCAGAACTAGGAAAGGAAGGTGGGTGAGAGGCAGGGGCTGAGGAAGAAGGGAGGCAAAGACGGGAGACACAGACAGTCAAAACAGAGGGCAAGAATCTAGGGTTGTGGACAGACATGAGACAGCTCTCCAGCCGCCATGGGCTAGTGCCCAGAAAAATACCACCCAAACCCGACTTCCTGCCCTTACTCAGTGCTAGTGAGGAGATGTGTCATTTCTGAGAGCTGGGAGGCTGGATACACCCCACCAGAGCAGTTTGGGAGAGCCCGCTGTCCTTAAGAGAGTCAGCCACCTCCTCAGGGCAGTCTTTCTCTAGGGAGAATGGCTGCACCTTTCCCCCTGTGAGGTGTAGTGGTGGTAATTGTTAATTAGTTCCAATGGCTTCTCTGGGGGACCCGCTCCTTGGGAAGGCAGAGTGAGGCAGGTAGCCTGGATGGAATTATCTCTCCTCAGGACCCTCCCCAGCCTCTGGGTCACCCTACAGTAGGGAAAGCGAATAAACCCTTCCCTCTTTGCTGCCAGCGTAAAAGAAGGAATGAATCCTGACCAGCCCCTAGAGGCACGTGATGGCCGCTCCCCCAACTCCCCCAGCCAGCGGAGGATATGGACTCAGCGAGGCTTCTAGCCCTAATGGTTATCATCTTGGGTTGGGACAGTGAGATGCTGGCTAGGACAATGGGATGTTCAGTATGGGGGTCTTCTCCCGTCTCCAGCTGTGTTTCAGTTTTTCCTAGAGGCCTCGGGACTGTTCCCTAAGCAAATGGCCTTCAAGGCAAAGTTGGAAAGTATGGGGGTGGGGGTGTGAAGGAATGTTGTTTGTGGTGTGTGTGCCTGTCTGTGAATGAAGGGTGGAGAGAAAACAAGCGCCCGGGTTCCAGAACAATTAAGTCTGAGGTATCCCACCAGGGTAGGTGGCAGAAAGTCTTCTTGAAGGGAAAAGGAGGGGTGGAAAGGAAGAAGGCTGTATTAGAAGAGCGCCGTGTGAGAGGGTGCTCAAAGTAAAACGGTGGAGTGTGAATGATGGCGTGGGCGGGGTTCGGAGAGGGATAACGGAACACCTGGGTGGAGTGTGGCTGTGGGGGCGTCTGGGCCTGTGTGAGCAGAGGGCTTGTCTGTGCAAGAGTCCCGCCGTGGAATGCGTAGGAGTTAGGAGCACAGGCTCAGCGCGGAAATTAGGGTCACCCAGTGTGGGACCGAGCCCCCTCCCTGGCTCGCGTATCCTAGGAGTACCCAGTGTGGGACCGGGGCCCCCTCACGGTTCGTGTGTCCGAGTGACGGTTGGGAAGGGTCCGAAGATGTGCCTGCCACCGAAGTAAACCGCCCAGGCGGCCCTAGGCGCAGGGTCTCTGGAGCTGGGAGCCCATAACTGCTGAGGGGGGCCGCGGGGAAGCGGGGGCGGGGCCAGGGCGGCGGCTGTCGCCGGAGGAGGTGGCCCGCACGGGCCCGGGGCGGGCCCAGCAGAGGGCGGGTTTGAAAGCGCTCGGGCGGGCGCGGGAAGCGCGGGTCGAGCGCGCAGATTTCGGCGCGGGAGGTGTCGTTCTCCAGCAGGTGCTCGTAGGGTCCGGGCGGGCGTTCCGGGGGCTCCGGGGCAGAGAGTGGAGTGTCTGGCCTGTCACCAGGGGAAGGGAGGCCTGGCCTGCCAGCTCTTCGGCCGCGACAGAGACTTGGGGTGCGGCCCCCACGCGGCGCGTGCGGAGCAGCGCAGCACGTGGCGCGCATGGGCCTGACTCTGGGTTGGGGGTGTTCCTTCTGTGGGGCCCCGGGTGGAGCGGGGCCCAGGGCAGCC